ACAGAAATACACACAGGGGCAGGAGCAGTGAAGCAGGCTGATCCTCTGCTGCAGCACTGGCATCCCATATGGGCACTGGCTCATGTCCTGGCTGCTTCACTTCCCAACCCAGTGACTGGGAAAGCAGTGCAGAATGGCCCAGGTCTTGGGAACCTGCACCCATGTGGGAGACGAGGAAGGAGTTCCTAGCTCCTAGCTTCACAATGGCCCAATTCTGGCCACTGCAGACATTTGGAATGGGAACTCTATGTAACTCTGCCTTTCCAAGCAAAATAATTTATTTCAAAAATACATACAAAAAAATACATACATATACACCCTGGGACAAATTTAAGGATTAAAAGAGATTTGCAATGAAAATTAAGAAAATACTGAAGAAAAACCTGAAGATACCCAACAACAAAATGAAAACAATGGCAAAGAAGAAAGAAAGAAAGAAACAAACAAACAAACAAACAAACAAAGAAACAAAGAAAGAAAGAAACAAAGAAAGAAACAAAGAGAAAACCCAAGTATCATCCCTCTGTCCCAGGGTCTGCACTGGCAGCAAGTCTCACTCAAGAGATGAAGCCAGCAAGCAAACAGTCACTCTGATGTTGGAAGCAGTTCACTATGTTAGCCACTATGTGAAGTGCTAGCTCCCTAAATCACATTTTTTTTAATGGTGATGTTTACAGAGTTGATGGGGGTGGGAAGGATTGAGGCTTAGGGGAAAGTGGGTGAGATCATTGTTTCCAAGTTTCCTTTTCTTCCTCCTGTATCTGGGAGCAAGGGAGGAGATGAGAAGAGAAGCTGCACTCAGCCTTCCAACTGCCTCAGTACCTGGGGTGGGGAATGGCCACCAAATATCATACCAGGGTCCCAATGGGAAGCATGCTCTGAAGGTTCTGCTCAAGTAACTTTAATAGTTCTGAAATGCTGTTAGTTTTATTGCTTCAAGGATGGGAAAATCTGTCCAAGGACCATTGGCTGACACAGTCCACCTTAGAGTTTCCATTCTCCCAGATATATGCTGGCAACACTTGGCTGGGCTAGTTGTATAGTTTGCTTTACCCTCCTTCCTCTGCTATGGTAGCAGATGTCCTCTGCAGTTCCCAGTGGACTGTCATATCCTCCATGTGCATCTGGGTATGCCATCCACTGCTCTGGCTTAGCTACAGAGGAAGCCCAGTACTGATACCTGCACTCCAGTCAGTCCACTGGCCCTGTGCTTCAGCCATGGTTGGAATCCTGGTCCCGTCTGCCACACATCCCATTCAGCTGTTATATATGTCAATGGGTGTTTTAGCCTAGCTCAACCCAACCAACCCAGTTATCCAGACCACACTCATCCCAGTAGCTGCCACTGCTTGGCCAGACAGTCCCACCCGCAGCCCTGCTTCTCATGCTTACCTGTGGGAGTCGCAGCCCATTAGAGAGGAGCCCACAGTTTCCCTACTGGGAGATCTTGCGCCCTCCTGGTGGTTCTGCAGTCTAGCTTGACAGGAGCTGTGCCTGGTCTAAGCATTTGCCAGTCCTGACGCTGTGGCAAAGTCTGAGCAGCCTGCACTTACCCTAGCTCACGCATGCACAGTGTTTATAGTCACTTGGCCTTGCTGGCTTTCCCAGCTCACATGCAGCCCTATGGGTATTGTAGCCCTGCCGAGCCTGGTCTGCCCTCAGTCCCAGGTCTCACTCTCACCAACAGGAACCCATGCTGCCCTCGTAAAAAGGTCCCCCAGGTCTCACATGTACTGGTGGGGGCTATAACCTGGTCTGGAATGGTGTGCCTCACCTTGGCATTTGTTGGATGGTATTGTAGCCTGGCCTGGCAGGGTTTGTACCCAATTCCAGCTCATGCTGGTGGGAACTGCAGCCTAGCCTTGCCTAGCTAGCCCCCAGTCGCAGCCCTAAATGTGAACTGGCTGCTGTTACAGACCGACTAGGCCTGTCCTGCACCCTGCCCTGGTTCTCAGCTCTGCCCGTGGCTGCCAAGAACGGGTCCAGCCTGGCCTGCCCCCATATCTGAGCCACAGGTATACTGGTGGGTACTGTAATCGGGCCTGGGCTGGGCTGCTCCCTGCCCTGGTTCTTGTGCTTACCTGCAGGGACTGTGTCCTGATGGAGGTGTTCCCCAAGCTCCTCGATCGGGTCTCCTCCGAGTTCTTTCAGAAAAGCAGAAATTACACCATCACACGTGTGTTCTCAAGTAGTCGGAGGTGTTCTGGCTTGAAGAAAAGATGAGACTTGCAGTTAGATGATGATACATTAGGAGACCTTAAACCAACTTGGAACAGGAAAAAGTTGACATAGTGGCAGACTATCCATACTTTACGTATGATTAGATAAAACCATAATATGCAACAGAGAAGTTAGGATAAGTTGACTTGAATTTGAAAAAGAAAAATCTCAAGGAGTTACTTTGGGATGAAACCATCATCCTCACTGCTAACACTCTCCTTAGGGATCCACACAAATGAATCACTGCAACTCAGGAAATCCAAATGCATGGAGTATCTTAATGCATCAATGAAAAGCGTCCTCAGGTGAGACGAATTAAGAACAAAAAAATCTTTCCAAGAAGCTGGAAGATGGCCCCAGTGCTTGGGCCCCTACCACCCTCAAGGCAGACCCTGATGAAGTTCCTGACTTGGGCCTGGTCCAGCCCTGATCTTTGAGCCATTCGGGAACCACAGGGCAGATGAAACATTTGTCTGTCTCTCCTGCTCTCTCTGCAATTCTTTTTTTTTTTTTAATTATGTTGCCTTTTTTATTATTTTACAATATATTTCAAAAAATGACCTTACAGATGTCTTACCTGCTCTATAAGACCTGGAATAAAAGAACACTTAGAATTAGAACACAGAGACATTAAGCTGTAATATTCACTTGTACTGAACCATTACTACCAAAGGGTAAGTATTTTTTTAAAATAAGCAGATGTGCGGCTATGCAAAATAAAATACAAACTTGTTAAAACAGAACAGTAAACTTGACTTTAATAGTTATGGAAAGGTGGCTATAGAAAGGAGGTGGTTTTGTTTTCTTTCTTCAACACATCTGGTTCTGGCAGCAAGTTGCATTATACACTTAAAGCAGTGTGTGCCCTGAAAGCTCATAGCTTCTGTTTGTGCGTATAACTTGGGTCAGAGACCAGACACATGGAAAAGCACTGTTCTCAACACCCTCAACATCTCTCCTTCACGGAGGTCACAATGCTAACAAACTCAAGACTTTCCTTGCTGATGGTACTTAGTAATTGTTTTACTCCAGTTAACACTGGATGCTTTAATATTCTCTAAAAGAGAAGTGATGAAAGCATGTAGAAACCCTCCAGGGTCCAATTGTCACTTCCCATTCCCCAAGTAGTAAAATAGCAGCTCTACATGTTATAAAGAAAAAGAGAGATAATTCAAATTTCTTATTAGTTTTTAACCATAGTAACTTTACAATGCTTTTAGATTTGGTTGAATTTCCAAAATGAAAATGTCAGTTGTCAAATATTTTAGGAATTTATTAAAGTATTACATATAACTGATTTCCTTTTAGCTACCCCTCCCCCTCAAAAAAGTATATATGGTGCATGTGTGTGCATTTACTTATCTTACCTTAACTGAAGTTCTCTTTTTCTAGTTGGACATGAGAAACCAGTTTAAGCAACCAACGCTTGCTTTTATTTCTATTATAAGCAGTAATTCAGATCTTTTTTCACTAAATATGACTGCAGCATTTTCATAATAAAATGCACAAAAGGCAATACCAAAAAATGCCTTCTGAACAGGCTTCTGACAGGCAACCCACGGAAGTTAGACTCTACCAAAGTGGCACTACGAGAATACAGGCATCCAGTTTCTTTTCCTTTTTTCAAATTTGTCAGTTATTTACCACAATTATTTTGTCTAGTAGAACACAATTTCATGCTGGACTTAACTCTTAAGAGTTGACATAAACCAAAACTGGACAGCAGTCAACTGGAATCACATTCCAATGGTCTCCAAACATACTTGGCTAAAACACATCTTTTCTTCTCCTTGACTGATTTTGCATTAATTTTATTAAACGTATAGCAAATAACATTGCAAAGTTTTTCTCAGAGCTTTTTCTTAGGGGACTCTCTCTGCAATTCTTGCCAACAAGTACCTGGTGAACTTGTAGACAGCGCTGTTCCTGGCTCCCCAGCAGGTGGCGGCCCCGCGCCCTGGCCGCACGCCCGCTGCATCCCGCCGGCAGCACAGAGGCTCGCGCGGCCCGGGAGCGCGCTCGCCCCGCAGCTCGGGCGGCTGGCAGGCGGGCTGGCGCCGGTCGCGTCGGCCGGCAGCAGGGCCCATGTGGAAGCTCCTCCCGGCCGCGGGCCCAGCCCGAGGGAAGGACAGAGAAGGGACAGAGGGCCCGGGTTCGGAGGAGCGCCAACGCGGGGAAGGAAGTGGTGGAGGGTCGCTTCCGGTCCGGTCCCCTTACCTTCCGGGGCACGGCGGAACGGGAAGGAAACCGGGGGTCGGGCACGCGCGTGGTGGTCCCGGCTGCGCCGCGGCGGGGAAGGCCGGCTGTCCTCGGCCCCGGGGTTGGGCGGGTGGACGCCCGGCCCTGTCCCGCGCTGTGCAGTGGCCGTGGGACCCCGGCGCTGTGCAGTGGGCATGGGCGGTGGGGCGGCTGGCCCTTCGCTGAGCCCTGGCTGAGGTGGCTGAGGAGAAACAGGTGCACGGAGAAGCTTTCTGTTGTTTCAGACGCGTTTCCTTGCTGTCAGCAAGAGGGGACAGCCCAGACGTTTTCTTTTTGAAAGAGACACCAGAATTTTGCATCTCCGAGTTCACTGGCCTAGATGTGTCCAACACTGGGGCTGGTCAGGCCCAAGCCAGGAACCCCGGGATGCAAGGGCCTCAGTTGCTGTCTGTCAGAGTGCGCCTTGGCGGTGCTGGGCTGGACCCCCTGCACAAACCTGGGATGCTGGTGTCCCAGGGGAGCTGCAGCAAAAGCCAGGCTACTTCACCCCGCCCCTTTCCTGTGTGTCTGCACTTCTCTAGTGGAAGTTGCTAGTTGCCTGCCTGCTGTTTGTGGTCCTTATTGGCTGATAAAAGAAAGGGTAAGCCGGGAAAGCCATGATTGCCTGTGTGCTCAGGGTGTTCAATTGTGAGGCAGTGTTGACTGGCTATGTAAGGAGGATTAAAAAAAAAAAGATTTCTTAATTTCACTTGAATGAGAGCAGGAAAGACAGAGAAGTCCTCAATTCTCGGGATGGCCTCCATGGCCAGAGCTGGACCAGTGCATAGCTGGCAGCTAGAAGCTTGTCTCATTTGCCCTACAATGTGGATACACGGGTGCAGGAAACTTGGGTCATGCTCCACTGCTTTCCCAGCCAGAAGCAGGGAGCTGGATGGGAAGTGGAGCAGCTTGGGGTTGAACCAGTGCCCACATGCGATGCCAGCACTGCAAACTGAAAATTAATATGATCTGGCCCCTGAAGGACTTTTGTAAACACCAATACAGGCATTCCTATGAACTTGGACCAGTGCAAGGCCAGACCATAGAGATTTCAGTTTGTCTCGTGGCTCTCAGGGTTCCTGTGGATGTGTGGAAAGCAGACAGATCTGAGACAAATTGAGTTTGGCACAGCATACCTGAGGAAAGGCTTCATGAATCAAGGTGTGGCCCGAGCCAGTGGAGGTTGAGAGAGCAGTACCCAATGAGACCATCCAGGTCCTCTGAGGTCTTGGCCACACCTTCAGGTGGGTGGCACCAGCATTGCCCACCCATTTCTTAACTAATCAAGAGATCACCAATGGGGAACATCTGTAGGTTCCCCGCCCAACAAGGAGGGGTCAAGGAAGGCTTAAAATCCTAAGACCCTTCCTCAAACCTTTGGTGTCTCTCTCTCCCTCCTCTTTCGAGAGCACCCCACCTCCCGGCTTCTCTTCCGGAGGTGCTTCCCCTTCCTTCCTTCCCTGCTCCCTGGTCCCTTCGCAAATAAACTTTTCTGTTTGTAACAGATTCCCGGCTTTTTATTTCTATACTAAGCTGAGGAAAGAACCCACCGGGCATTTCTGGTAACACCCAACAGTCCAGCAGACGGTAGGAGGTGACTTCCAGAAACAGCGGGATTGGTTAGTTGCAGCTCACTGTTGGCCTGGTCTGAGTGTGCAGTGAGAAGGCATTTGCCCTCAGGACCTGGTCTGAGTAGGTGACAGGCTGAGACTTAGCCATCTGTTACAGGGATAGCACTGCTCAGGGCAGGCATTTGGCACTGTGTAGCAGGGCTAGCCTGGGAGTCCTGTTCAGCCTGTCTCCAGCTGTTGGCTAAAGTGCACCCTTGGCCACAGCTCAGAGTTGAATTACTGCCACCTGTGGACAGACCAAGTTTGAGTCCTGGGCTCAGATACCCTGGATATTTGGGCAGTGAGTCAGAACGTGTATCCCTGTCCCCCAAATAAGTAAAGTAAAAATTTACAAACAAAGAATAGGGGCTGGTGTGATGGCTCAACTGGCTAATCCTCTACTGTTAGCACTGGCATCCCATATGGGCACTGGTCCTTATCCCAGCAGCTCCACTGCCCATCCAGCGCCCTGCTTGTGGCCTGAAAAAGCAGTCCAGAACGACCCAAAGCCTTGGGACCCTGCACTCAATATGAGAGACCTGGAAGAAGCTCCTGTCTCCTGGTCTCAGATCGGCACAGCTCTGGTATTGTGGCCATTTGGGGAGTGAACTAATGGATGGAAGCTCCAGTCAAGTTCATATTGGGACTTTACTTGGGATTTCAGTAAATGTATACTTTGGGAAAGCAATTCCTTTCACTGTTGTTATTCCTTGAGAGAAATGGTATGCCCTTGCATTAATGTAGGTGATCTTTTGATATTCCTCAATAAGGGTTTAATAGAAAATGGGGGTTTAATTTATGTAAAACTGATTAACATTGAAATAGCAAACTAAAATATTTTCTTGGCATATCATGAATTTTATCCTATATAATGTACACATTTATGTATGTGTGTTTGTGTCTCATTTTATTCCTCTTAGAACCATACAGACTTTTGACTGGCACTGAGTACATCGTTGGAAGGAAAAACTGTGCTATTCTAATTGAAGATGATCAGTCAATCAGTCGAAATCATGCAGTGTTAACTGCTAATTTTGCTGTGACCAACTTGGTATGTTCCTGATTGTATTTTGCTAGCTTGCCGTGAGAGTTGAAATCAGTATATTGCCTTGATGTGAGAGAGAGAGCTGTTTGAGCATTTTATGCTTTTGTTTCAGTGACTTAGAAACTTGGAGAAAGTAGGTTGTATTTGTATTTGTTTACTTAACAACATTGACTGTTCCCTGGTGAGAGTTATTGGGCTTAGCTGTGATACATTCCTGATGCTCGCTCTTAAAGAGAGTATGTGACTGATGGACACAAAGTCTGGGTGTGTAAAGGGAGGCTCCACAGTGGGAATGACAGTTTTCCCAGGGAAGACAACTGTTGCTTCTGATCCACAGCTCTTTTGAATGGCTTGGAAGGTATTTGTTAGCTTTCACCAGAACCACGGGTGATGAGAGTGATAAAAATATGTGAATAAATACGTTCAAAATCATCGTGGTAGGAACAAGAAAGTGAAAGTAAGCAGTTAGTTTGAACAAATGTGACAAATGCACAAGTGATGGATTAGTTTACTGGCATTTAGGTTTTGTGTCTATTTGTGTTGTAGAAAAGCATTATTATAGAAGTTGCAATAGAAAAAATAAAATTATTACCAAAAATCAGAACCTCTAGGCTTTATGCCTTGTTTTTACTCGCCCAGTGTTTACCATGTGCTTTTGATAATGTAAACAAAACAAAACGAAAACGTAGGACTGAAGCTGTCATGTTATGCATGAAGCAAACTGCTGCCAATCATAAAATTCTCAAGTGTGTGAAATGGAAGGGTTGGGAAAGTCCCAACTGATTTACAGAAATAAAGAAAAATGTGTGTTCCAAGAGTTATAATTCTGAAATTCAGAGATTTTCTTGAAGGGAGATATTTATGTTAATTGCTAATTAGTCCTTTGAAGGCAGCCAGAACAGTAGCTGTCATTCCCTGTGGTGGCAGGATATCCAGCTGTTTATTATTTTACCCTTTTCAAAAGTTATCAAATGTCTCCTGTGAATCATCTCCCCCTGGATTGTATGTACTTGAGCTGTAAAAGACTTGTAATTACTTCTCTAATTTTCAGAGTCAAACTGATGAAATCCCTGTATTGACAATCAAAGATAATTCTAAATATGGTACCTTTGTTAATGAGGCAAAAATGCAAAATCACCTTCCCCAAACTTTGAAGACAGGGGATAGAGTCACCTTTGGAGTGTTTGAAAGTAAATTCAGGTATGGATTTGTTTATTTAATTTTTGTTGTTAAAGATTTACTTTTACATGAAAGGCAGATGAACAGAGAGAAGGAGAGACTGCCTTTACTAGTTCACTTCCAAGTTGCCACAACAGCCAGAGGTGGGCCAATCTGAAGCCAGGAACCAGGAGCCTCTTCTGAGTCTCCGACATGGCTTAGGAGTCCCACAACTTTGGGCTTTCCTTGACTGCCTTCTCAGGCCACAAGCAGGGAGCTGGATCCACATTTGGGAAGCTGGGGTATGAACTGTTGCCCATATGGAATCCTGGTGGAAGCTTAGTGTACCAAACCAGTGGCACTGGCCCCACACTTTTTAAATTAGATTAAAGTGGACAATTTTATCTCACAACAATTGAATTTTAAAGCAAAGATAAGGATTATAAGATGAAGTATAATTGACTTCCCGTTTAGTACAGTAGTGAACTCTGTGTGGTTGGTATATTTTGTGGATCACAGGTGGGGGGTGACAGGTGGGTAAAAGTTTGTGTTAGTCCCTGTGAGTTGTGATAGGAGCCTCGTTTGTTTGATGCTTCATAAGTTAAAATGTAATGTTGATGTTGGCCATGTCTTTTTCTTCTTTGGGAACACAAGATTTAGGAGGTAAGAATTTCCTAAGTTACAAATTTATAATGTGTCAAAATTAAATGAATAATATGTTGTAAGCTTAAAGTTGTAAAGTATTGTAAAGTTGTAAAGTCTTTGTAACTGTGATAACATAACTTTATTGTCATTCACAGGGTAGAGTATGAACCTTTGGTTGCCTGTTCTTCTTGCTTAGATGTGTCTGGGAAAACTGCTCTAAATCAAGCTGTATTGCAACTTGGAGGACTCACTGTGAACAGCTGGACAAAAGAATGTACTCACCTTGTCATGATGTCAGTGAAAGTCACCATGGAAGTAAGTTGAACTGTGTTCCCATATTACAACAAGTTCTGGGACCTTGAGTGAACTCACCACAGCACAGAGTTAGCACCATGTGTCTCTTCTGTCAGATTGTCTTCCTCCAGTCTCTGACATTGTCTCATGGTCTCATGCTCAGTTAAGCTGTAATCACACAAAGATTTCTTTGCTGTATCTTTAATGCCCTGAAATGTATGGATATGTACCTTCCAAAGATGCTGACTATTCATTAAAGCAGTGATGTATTTTGGTATATTTTCAGGTTTTGCATTTTCATCAGATTTGATATATCCAAAGGTAATTGAAGAATGGCGTTTAAGATGTGATTTGTTAAACAGGCTGACTGTGCAAAAGATATGTGGGATTGTTTTAGGCTGTGTTTGAAGATGCAAAAACCTTTTGTTATAATTAATTAAATATTAGTGTTATATTCTAATTTATATATAAATGGCTCTTATGTGTGTACATATATGTGTATGAAATAGCTGTCAAAGAGAAAGGCTTTTTGCCCAGATTGAACCTGAAGTTAAATTTGTACCATGGTGAAGTTACCCTGAACAAAGATAGTTTCCTCTTGGAAAATTTAGGACATTGATTTTTTTGCTGCTGCAGCAAGACTAACTTAAAAAATACTCATGTTGATAAACTCACAGGTAATAGATTCATAAAACATTTGTAAAACCAAAATTCATATGCATGAGGACCTGATATTTAAATGTTAGCTCAGCATAATCCCCCTGAAGATATTAAGTTACTTAAATGGAGTAGGTAATGATACATGGGTTTAGAAGGCCTGAAATAAGGTCAAAGATGCTTTGATTGTCTTGGGAGATTTTGCCAAGTCCTCAGAGCTGGACACTTCTAGTACCTGACATGCTAATGACCACCATTAGAGACACCACCATGGAGTGTGCAGCGTTTCTTCTTTGGTGTTTCTGATTGCTTTTTGCGAAAAATAAATAAAATAAAAATAAACCCTGGTCATTATATTATTTGTTGGTCCTCTTTCCCAAAGTATATTCAGGCTTATAGGTTTTCCCTTAGTTGTGTTTTGTTTTGTTTAGATTATTGAATGTTAGAACCAGAGGGAAACCTGAGGAGTGTTTAGTTCAGCTTTTATATTTTGAAGAGCAAATTGAAGCTTGGAGCAATTACGTGCTTTGCCTGGAATCGCATGTGTTGGGAGTTTTATTCAGTCCTGTGTTGATTGCATTTCACTACTTCCTGTTGGATTTGGATGATCTCATTCACATAGGAAGTTGGGATCTGGCAGATTCCAGTCTTTAGAGATACCCTCAATCTGGTCGCTCCTAACACCTGCATTATTGAAAACATATGTATAAACTGTATAGTTGGATTATTTCCTAGAATATGCCAGCTCTTTCTTATTTTAATTGCCCACAGTAGTATTTTCTAGTCCTTTCTGAGTTTGTGGATGTGTGTTACTTGAGGCTGATAGCTTGATTCACGTTAGTTCACAGTTTCGTTCTCTCTTTATGTGTGCATCAGCTTCCACTGAGCCTAACCAGTTGCTCCTTGATTTACTGTGTTGAAGAGGCTTTATTCTATACTCTTACTCCTTCTGAAAGCAGTAAGGCTCCACAGAAATTTCCATTTATCTCTTAATGTGTATTGGCTCTGCAGGATGGGTTAGATTTCTTCAGCCTGAACGTGTACTTGTAATGTTTTTCAAGTTGGAATGCATTTTTAAAGTCTTTGTGTTATTCTGCCTATCCCAAAGGACTACTGTGTCATTGGCTTCTGATAATTGAGTAGTTCTGGTTTGTGGTATAAAACTGAGCAAATATGAAATTCTGTTTTACAGATTGTGACTTCGTTTATCAAATTAAGCAAAGGAAAGAAAACAATTATTAGAAAGGCATGTTTGTAGTTTATAACATGAATGTTTTCTTTAGAAGAAGCTATCGTAATGACTATATATATATATCCACATATATTTTCTTTCTTTTAGACGATTTGTGCACTCATTTGTGGATGCCCCATTGTAAAGCCAGAGTATTTTACTGAATTCCTCCAAGCAGTTCAGTCCAAGAAACAGCCTCCACAAATAGAAAGGTATATTATGTGTTTCTAATTAACAACATATGACAGAAAAGATGAGCGCATTGACTTTCGGTTAACTCTCTGGAATTCTAGATGTGATAGTTGCTGTGTTCCACGTTTCTCTTGTGTGTGTGTATGTGTTCCATGTTAATGAAATTTTTTCAGTTAGTATGTAAAGAAAGAGTACCCCAAATTCTTAATTGGTTATTTCTTAGCTCTGTGAAACAGATGTTAACTGCTAATATATAACAAAAAACTGTTGAAGCATGGTAAATAGGTCAGCATTGCTCATGTGCCAGTGTCGGGGTCATGGGTGAGGTACCCTTGGTAGTGGGGCTGCAGCAACCCTCTTGGAGAACCACATATTTGGACCTAAATGTTGACAGCACTGGGCACTGCTTTTGTTACCTCATTTCAAAATGAGATCACTGACACAGTTTGGTAGCTCTAGATTAGTAATTCCATCTATAAAATCTGAGCACATGGCTTGCTCTCACCCTAATTGCTTGTTAAAAGAAATGTTGATTGTTGGTAATTGCAACAAAAGGTGGATGATACGTGCCAGATTTGTGAGCCACTAGACTTGGAGATCTGGCCTAGACTTGGAGTTTCTGGCCTTTTTTGTCTTTGAGGTGGCATCTGAGGACCTCAGCTGGTTTGTAGGAGCAGGCCAACTCATTCTAGTGCACCTGGACATGCTCCTCTCCTTTGCACTGGATTCAGGGCAGGCAGCACAGCATGCACTGTGTGTTTCAGCGCTAGGACAAACAGTCCACTCTGTGCTCCCTGAGATTGGGGATCCTGCCTTGTCTGGGACCAACCAGTCCTGAAAGCCTGGGGTTCTTGGTGACACCAAAGGCTGTTGGTTGGATCACCCCACATTTCCTGCCATGGGTGCGACTGCCTGTAACCTGTTAGACCCCTAACCTGCTGCCCAAAAGCCATCAGTGCCGCCAGATTGTACGATTACAAGCTTACATTGATTCTATAGAATGACTGGCTATTTCAAATGGCCTTAAGTTTAGGAGTGTTAAGCAAGTTAAGAATTTCCAAAGTATTTTTATCAGCATGTTGTAGTGTTACTAATATTTTTATTTTATAAGGATTTATTTATTCTTATTGGAAAGACAGATCAGGTTTATGACGAGAAAGAGAGACAGACAAAGATCTTCCATCCGCTGGTTCACTTCCCAAATGGCTGCAACAGCCAAAACTGAGCTGATCTGAAACCAGGAGCCAGGAGCTTCTTCTGGGTCTCCCAGATGGGTACTGGATGCAAAGGTTTTGGGCCTTCCTCTGCTGATTTCCCAGGCCAAAAGCATGGAGCTGGATGGGAAGTGGAACGGCTGGAACACAAATCAGCACCCATGTGGGATGCCAGTGCTTACAAGACAAAGATTTAACCTCTGAGCCATTGCGCCGGGCCCACTCATTTTATTGTTAGAGCAGTAACAAAGTGGTTCATGTTCATAAGCATGTCTTATTGCATACATATGTATGAGCTATGTTTTTATAAGACTGACAGGTATAGATTTGTTAATATCAGCATCACCTGAAACACATGGTTATGTGTTATGCTACATCACGATGGGTATGAAGTACTGGGTAACAGTGGTAGTTTGTGATTTTTGTCCTTCTACTTCCAAAAATTTATTTATTTTATTGGAAGGCAGATTTATAGAGAGTAGGGCAGAGAGAAAGATTTTTCATTCCACTGGTTCAATGTCCAAGTGGCCGCAATGGCCAGAGTTGAGTCGTTCTGAAGCCAGGAGCCAGAATCTTCTTCCAAGTCTCCAATGTGGGTGCAGATCCCAAGATGTTGGGCAATCCTCCAAGGCTTGTGCAGGCCACAGGCAGGGAGCTGGATGGGATGTGGAGCAGCCAGGACACAAAACTGGCAGTCAAATGGGATCCCAGGGCATGCACCACAAGGATTTAGCCATATGGGATCCCAGTGCTTTCAAGGCAAGGATTTAACCACTGAGCCATTGTGCCGGGCCTCCACATCCTCTTTTGATGTCACCTTCAGCCTCATACACATCCTTTGAGGTCCTGAGTGTGGACATGGTCACCAGGGGAAATGCAGAAGTAGGCAGGTGACAGAACCTTGGAGAGCCACTGTCAGCAGGGTTCTGTGGACGTTGTCTGAGATGCTGAGTCTCCTTTGTAGCTTGCTCTTTGCTTTTCTGCTGGCCCCATCCACGTGGCCTTTCATTTTCTGCCCTGGTGGCCCAATGTGGTGCTGACCTCCTCCAGAGTGGCCAGAAGAGTATCAGGGTAAAGCATACACACAGAGACGGCACAACAGCCTAGAATCACTGCCCATGTTACCTTGTGGATATTTGAAGATCTGGCCAAAGACTATCCAGTGCTGGTGACCTTGAAGGGAAAAGAGAGAAAGGAGGGAGGGAGAAAAGTAAAGAAGGAAGACAGGCAGGCAGGCAGTAGTAGGTTCTTTTTTTAAATATTTATTTTTATCTGGGGCCAGGTGTGGTTGTCTAACAGCTAAAGTACTCACCTTGAACACACCGGGATCCCATATAGGTGCCAATTCTAATCCTGGCAGCCCTGGTTCTTATCCAGCTCCTTGCTTATGGCCTGGGAAAGTAGTGGAGGATGGCCCAAAGTCTTAGAATCCTGCACCCACTTGGGAGACCTGGAGGAAGTTCCTGGCTCCAAGCTTTGGATCGGCTTAGCTTCGGCTGGTGCAGTCTCTGGGGTGTGAATTATCAGATGGAAGATCTTCCTCTCTGTTTCTCCTCCTCTCTGTATATCTGACTTTGCAATAAAGATAAAATAAATCTTTACATCATGCATATGGCCTAGGTGGGGGGCAGACCAGGCTGAACCCATTCACATCAACTGCTGGCGAATCTGAGCACCAGCATAGAGTGTGGGTCAGGCCAGTTTCAGTCACAACACATACTAGTGCA